ACCATGGAGGTGGAAGGAAAAGGGAGGAGGCACTGTTCCTTTTATTCACATCTGTCATGATCATTGTCTGGTCCATTCCCTAATCTCCTTGTAATAAGGTCAGGTTTAGAGATTAATGGGGATGGAGGCCACAGCATTCTAAATTTTCTACCACCAAGTGCCCTTCCAGAGGGTGCATGGGGAAGGATAATGCTTTTCCCTATGAAGTTGACAGTTACTCATCAGCAACATTCCACCCCATCCCTCTTGCTTTTTGCATTCAAACGTGTCATAGATGAGTGTGTTGATGGCAATAACAATTCACTTGTAATCAGTCAGCTGCGGTTTATCCTTATTCTTTATTTTGAAAAGGGGCATGAGTGTCCTATCTAAATATTTAATAATACCGCAGTGTTATCCAAGGTCCCCACAGTGTGATCTGCAGAGCTCACCAAAGTGGTGCACACTAACTGCCCTGTGTGAATGCTGCTGGAGGGAGCTAAAAGGTAGCTAGTTCACATTTAATGTAGCCCTATTTCAAACGGTCCAGGGTTCTGGGAAACAGGGAGTCTGGTCTGGGAGGTCCCCCTGGTGGGAGGGGAAGGGGGAAAAGAGTCCCACCCAGTCTCTCAGCCTGGGCCAGCCATTGGAGATGGGTAAAAAGCAGTAATTGAAGCTGTCCGGGACCAGCCAGATGAGAGGCAACAGCTCCTCCTGGGGCTCCAGCCCCTGGGCCCCCTCCCTGCCATACTCAGCTCTCTATTTCCCAGAACCCTGGGCTGCCATCTCCTCCTTTTCTGAGGCTGCTCTGGAAGGAGAGACGGTGACTTTGCAAGGACAGTCAAGTGAATTTATATTGGTGTCTATGACTGGGGTGGGAGGCTGATGCACCCCCACCCCTTGATGCAGAGGTGCAACAAGACCTTTCTGAAGTAGCTGGGACATGTCATGCCCTGACGCAAAGCTTGAGCCTCATGAGGAAGACAAGGTCCCGGTCTCCCAAAAAGCTTATAATCTAAGGCAAGTGACTTTTTATGGCCCTTTGGGTGGATGCTTACAATACTATATATGATTGGGAGTGGCTTTCTGTGTTGTGTGTAGAATTATTAATTTTCTGAAAGGAGCTGTTCCACCAAGAGGATATCCAGCCAATCAAGAGACCCCCATTGCAGAAAGCTCTGAGGCTCCCCCGGCCCCTAGCAAAAATAGTTGCTTCAGGATTTTGATGCATGCTGAATGCTGATTGGCTGATGAGGAGGGACTGACTTACAATAATTTTTGTACTGTGAAGTACTTGTGTTAAATTTCACATTTAACACTAGACGGATTTGTATGAGACTTGAGCAGAAGATGGATAGGCTGAGCAATTGCATCACTGTTGCTGATTAGGAAAATATCTCAATGTCCTATATTTGACTCTGGAACTCTCTGACACTGCTCCAAAAGAAGTGTAAATTATATGTATCCTTCAAATTCCACAAGGAAAATGTATTAAATCTGTTTTATCACCTGGTTTTTACTGTACTTAGTTTAATTCCTGAAAACTCTTTTTTCTCCAAGATTATGACTTCATCTAGACCAGGGGTGGCCAACCTGTGGCTTCGGAGCCACATGCGGCTCTTCAGAAGTTAATATGCGGCTCCTTGTATAGGCACTGACTCTGGGGCTGAAGCTACAGGCGCCAACTTTCCAATGTGCCAGGGGGTGTTCGCTGCTCAACTCTTGGCTCTGCCACAGGCCCTGCCCCCACTCCACCCCTTTCCGCCCCCTCCCCTTGAGCCTGAAGTGCCCTCGCTCCTCTTCTCTTCCCCCCCGCCCACCACCCCATCCCCCGAGCCTCCTGCGTGCCACAAAACAGCTGATCAGGAGGCAGGGGGAGGCACTGATCGGTGGGGCTGCCAGTGGGCAGGAGACACTGGGAGCCGGGGCAGGGAGCTGATGGGTGGGGGGGGAGGGAAGGCTGCTGACTTATTACTGTGGCTCTTTGGCAATGTACATTGGTAAATTCTGGCCCACGTTGGCCACCCCTTCTATAGACTGATCTCTGGTTCATTTATCCAGTATGGGCAGTCTTTCATCCACATTTTCTCATGGGAGTATGAGATTATATATAATCTCCCATGAGAAAATGTGGATGAAAGACTGCCCATACTAGAGATATCCAGTTCCACAAAGGGACTTAGGCATTTCAGTGCTTAGCGTCATAGCACCTAACTTTCCGGCACCTAGAAAATCACAGGAAGAAAACTGTGATGCACAAAGCCTGAGTTAGGCACGTAGGCTCCCTACACACTGAATGGGGCAAGATAGGGTGCCTTAAAATGCAATCCCCAAAAACCAGCACTGTAGTTTTTCGGAGATGCCGGCCAGAGGGGTGTATCCTAAGCCCTGTTCCTCTCATGAAATCACCTAAGGGCTGTGGGAGGTGCTTGTTCTTGCTTAGCGATCCACAGCCAGGAACCTGTCTCCTGGAGTCAGGTGGCTTAGGCGCTTAAGATTGTGGGAATGTGGCCTTACTCTGTTGTATCTAATTTGTTTTTTTTTTATCTACATACAGTAAGAGTCATATATACATGTAAACTGCCACTTGTATACTACACATATTCTAAGAATTGGCTCTGAATTTGTTATAAAAAGAATTCCAGCTTTTAAAGGAATGTTTTCTTTTAACAGAGGAAAGAAAAACTGTCACTATTTCACGGCTATACTAAAATGTTCTAAAATCTTTTTTTAAGAGCAGTGATTGTGCTCCCTCTAGTGGCCAAACATGAAGTTGTTTCTATATTACATACAATACCAATAGAATAGTGAAAAGAAAAGGAGTACTTGTGGCACCTTAGAGACTAACCAATTTATTTGAGTATAAGCTTTCGTGAGCTACAGCTCACTTCATCGGATGCATTGGATTCAAAAACCCTTCTTGGAGAAGCTATTTAAATAGTGTTTCTGAGGAGAAAACACATCTGACTTATATCATGGCTTTGCAGGAAAAAAAACTGTTATACAATATCTGGCACACCTAACACACACCTGCCTCTCCCCACCATCCAAATGTCACAAGTACCCTTTTAATACAGGACAAAGATGTTTTGTTTTGGGGGGGATGGGGCTTAGAGGCAACATCCTACAAAATTGTATTTGGGGTAAAGGATGGTGTGTATCAATGTCTGACCCATTATGTTAACACTGATAGGAAATCTACTCTTAAATCAGATCAAAAGCTCCCTATTGGATACAGGTTGTGTGGGATATTTAGCACCAAATAAGGGAAGTCCCTGAAAATACAGAATTGGTGGTCACACTGGCCTACAGGGATTTTTCCTCACCACATAGTGGCCCAATGGACTTCAGACTCTCTAGTCCGCCCTCCCCAAAGGCCAGAAACATGGATTGAGGGTGCCACAGGGCAACCAAGATGACCTGTCACGCTCTCTTCCCCAAGGGGAAGAGGAGGAGTTACCAGGACTTCCCTCTTCCCCAGGCTCCTTCCCCGGGGCTGCAGGAAGGGGAGTTGGAGAGGCAGATTAGCTTCAGCTGATGAGATGGTATCAGGCCACTGCTCTGTCTCAGTTGGCAGATTTCATCTCAGGAAAGAGATCTGGTACCTCATTTCCTCCCTGCTAGATTCAGGCCATGTCTAGGTTTCCTGCATGTGTGCAGCTGCAGGAAATCACTCCTCCACCAAATGGTCAGACCGGCTGGTGCCACTTTCAGGTTATTTCCATTGTCCCCTCTGTCCATATTAGTGCCAACCCTGTATGTATCCCCCAATGCACCTGCACATGGGAGCCCTTAAAGGAGCCCGTGGATGCACTTCTGGGATGGAAAAATGTGATTAGTTTCAGGCAAATGTGCCACGCTTTTCATTTTATGAAACTGGGTGAAACCTGGACTTTCCCCCATTAGTTCTGCTATGATGAGTGTGGGGTTTTTTTGGGGTGGGGAGGGGTTGTTGGGGTTGTGTGTGTGTGTTTTTGTTTTTTAGGGGTGTTTGAACAGCAATTTTAATTTCTGTTGCTGAGCCAACAAGTGAATGCAAAAGGGAAATGACATCCGTTTTAGTGAGGCAGACAAGGTGGGTGAGATACCTTTTACTGGACCAACTTCTGTTGATGGAAAAGAGAAGCTTTTGAGCTTCACAGAGGTCTTCTTCAGGACTCTTCCACCAACAGAACTTTGGTCCAGTAAATGATATTACCTCTCCTACTTTGTCTGTCTTTCTCATATCTTGCGACCAACATGGCTACAACACTACAAACAATGGAAGATATATCAGTTTTAAAGAGGAGCATTATAGCTTTTGTAACGTGGGCCTCATAGGGCAGTTCAAGGGTGGTACATTCACGTAATCCACTTCTTGCTTTTTAGTAACAATTTGCTGTTGTGACTGAGGAATCGCATGCGCGCGCGCTCGCACTCACTCTCTCTCACAAATTCAGTCTCATGTTTCCTGTATAGCTGTAAACAGCCAGATTTAGTCATCCAAGTTCTAACTCATACATACTTTTGTCCTTGATGGCACCTATGACACATGACTAGCTGCTTGTTACACCAACAGTGCTACAAAACTTTCATTTAAAAAGTGGGTCAAAATCTTCATACTGAGGTGCCTAAAGTGGTCTGATTTATTGAGGTGCTGAGCACCTCAACTCTTGTTGACTTCCGCAGGCACTGCAGGTACAAAAAATCAGGGCACTTATTTAGGGATAGGTACATAGATGCCTAATTTTAGGGACCCAAGTTTGAAAATGTTGGCCTTGTTACGAAGTCATTTCCTCCTTATGGTGTCTGCCTGCTACTTAAACATACACTAGTAATATATTTTATGTGTTTAATGCATGCAAGTAATGGAGGTACCTAATCAGGGAACAGCCAAACTATCATAACATTGACATCCTAGGTCAAATCCTAGACCTGAATGCACACTGAGGAAAAATTACCTACCCATGTGATGTATTGCAGAGCAAAATCACTACACCTTATTAGAACTGGCAAAACAAGACCAAACTCAAAGGACTTACCCTTTACAGCCCATAGCCTCTCTCGCTAGCTCACACATGCATTGATTTCTTCTGTTCTTCTCTTGCCAACTTTTTTTCAGAATTCTTTTTGCTGCAGGCAAACTCCCAGAGGTATCGTATAATTATAAAAAAAAAAAAAAAAAAGCCTGTTATTCTGTATTCTTAACTTCTAAATTTAAAGCAAATATTTAGCCAATATTACACTCAAGAGTATCTGGTCATAATTTGCTGTGCTCTCAAGTAGAGAGCTTTCAGCCCCCTGTGTCACAGTGCATCTGAAGTAGTTCAGTCATATATTATTGCATACACACTGGATTAAGCAACATGAAAAGGCCCGATAGATGCCTTCGTTGCTATCGTCGTCTTTATGATATTATGCACCCATCAGTTGTTGGTGAAATTCTGTACCCTTGACATATGAGAGAGCATTTGAGGATAGTCCAGCTCTCCCCAGCTGAGATTTGTTATCTAGTCAGCAGGAGGAACTACAAAAGCAAAGCATTCAGTGCTTTAGCAGATGCATGAGTGCAGCTAGTTTCTAACCAATCGACTGAAAGAACAAGTGCCCCAATGTCAGGGACAAACAGAATATTCGATGAGACAGGCTTGCATCATTGCGGAAACTCTTAACTACTTAGCGTGCTGAGCTCAATATGAAGATGGGTAACAATGAAAGGGCTTGTTCTAGTCTCTATCCTAGATGTCTGTTGTTTTGACTTCTTAGATGTTTTGCTAGATGCTGACTGCCACTATGAACTCAGTCTACATCTGCAGTAAACCCATTTGCTGCATCACTTAACTAAATAGACAGGTTTCAGAGGAACAGCCGTGTTAGTCTGTATTCGCAAAAAGAAAAGGAGTACTTGTGGCACCTTAGAGACTAACCAATTTATTTGAGCATGAGCTTTCGTGAGCTACAGCTCACTTCATCAGATGCATACCGTGGAAACTGCAGCAGACTTTATATATACACAGAGAATATGAAACAATACCTCCTTCCACCCCACTGTCCTGCTGGTAACAGCTTATCTAAAGTGATCAACAGGTGGGCCATTTCCAGCACAAATCCAGGTTTTCTCACCCTCCACCCCCCCCACACAAATTCACTCTCCTGCTGGTGCTAGCCCATCCAAAGTGACAACTCTTTACATAATCAAGTCGGGCTATTTCCTGCATAGATCCAGGTTTTCTCACATCCCCCCCACCCCCATACACACACAAACTCACTCTCCTGCTGGTAATAGCTCGTCTCTGACCACTCTCCAAGTTTAAATCCAAGTTAAACCAGAACATCTGGGGGGGGAGGAAAAAACAAGAGGAAACAGTACCTTGCATAATGACTTACCACTCCCAGTCTCTATTTAAGCCTAAATTAATAGTATCCAATTTGCCAATGATTCCAATTCAGCAGTTTCTCGCTGGAGTCTGGATTTGAAGTTTTTTTGTTTTAAGATAGCAACCTTCATGTCTGTGATTGCGTGACCAGAGAGATTGAAGTGTTCTCCGACTGGTTTATGAATGTTATAATAATTCTTGACATCTGATTTGTGTCCATTTATTCTTTTACGTAGAGACTGTCCAGTTTATCCAATTGCAACAAAGGGGCACTGTTGCCAATTGTGCCCACATATCATGGATGTCAGGGGACACCATCACAGGGCCTAATAACATCAGCCACATGTTATCATAGGCCCTGTGACCTGCACATCCCCCAATGTGATATATGGCCATCATGTGCCAGCAATGCCGCTCTGCCATGTACATTGGTCAAACTGGACAGTCTCTACGTAAAAGAGTAAATGGACACAAATCAGATGTCAAGAATTATTATAACATTCATAAACCAGTCGGAGAACACTTCAATCTCTCTGGTCACGCAATCACAGACATGAAGGTCGCTATCTTAAAACAAAAAAACTTCAAATCCAGACTCCAGCGAGAAACTGCTGAATTGGAATTCATTTGCAAATTGGATACTATTAATTTAGGCTTAAATAGAGACTGGGAGTGGCTAAGTCATTATGCAAGGTAGCCTGTTTCCTCTTGTTTTTTCCCCTCCCCCCCCCCCCCCCAGATGTTCTGGTTTAACTTGGATTTAAACTTGGAGAGTGGTCAGTTTAGATGAGCTATTACCAGCAGGAGAGTGAGTTTGTGTGTGTATGGGGGTGGGGGGGATGTGAGAAAACCTGGATCTATGCAGGAAATAGCCCGACTTGATTATGTAAAGAGTTGTCACTTTGGATGGGCTAGCACCAGCAGGAGTGTGAATTTGTGTGGGGGGGTGGAGGGTGAGAAAACCTGGATTTGTGCTGGAAATGGCCCACCTGTTGATCACTTTAGATAAGCTATTACCAGCAGGACAGTGGGGTGGGAGGAGGTATTGTTTCATATTCTCTGTGTATATATAAAGTCTGCTGCAGTTTCCACGGTATGCATCTGATGAAGTGAGCTGTAGCTCACGAAAGCTCATGCTCAAATAAATTGGTTAGTCTCTAAGGTGCCACAAGTACTCCTTTTCTTTTAACTAAATAGAGTTATGGTTCCCAGTGTGAATCAGTGACCATGAAATGGTTTGACCTTTTCAGTTCTAATCTAGATATCTGAAATACTGTTTGTTTGTCAGCTCCTATAATAGACAGTAACCGTCTCCTGATCCAACTAAAGATATCAAATATACTCTAATACATTAATTATTGTCTTTCTGATTAATATGAACAAATAACCTTTTAGAGTGTATATCTTACAAGTTTCTAGGAATAATATCTGTTCTGCATCTTAATTTCTACTTTAAAAAATTGCTTTACTGCTGATGTGCACTAGCAAAAGAATAACAATAAAATAAAAATTCAAAATCCATCCTTTAAAATGCATGTCAAACAAGTATTAAAATGCAGTTGTTCCTGAGAGAAGTGAGTAATATCTATTAAAAATACTGCTGGAAAAACAGTGATCAGCCAAAAAAGAATACAAACTCGCTAATATGATTTGCTAGGTGCATTTTGTGATTGTACAAGATTAACATCCTCCATAACCTGAAAAGTTCTTTTTAAATAATTTATTGTATGTTTGGTTTTTTTGTTTTGTTTTTAACAATAGCATAAATGATTTTATGTAGAAAATGGGGGTCCCATTATTGGTCATCCTGTGTATGTTGGATTAGGCCTTAGGAAAATTTTTCCTAAGAAACAAAAATATGCAAAAAGCAGTAGAACCCAGATCCATAAAGGGACGTAGACAATAAGATGCTGAGCATCATGGTGCCTAGAAAATCACAAGAACACTGTGATCCACAAAGCCAGAGTTAGATGCCTAGGCTGCTGTACAATGAATCAAGAGAGGTAAGCACCCGAGAACAAGATCTGTAAAACCAGCACGTTTGTCAGAGAGCTGCCTAAGCTAGCCAATAAAGATGCTGTTGAGAGTGGGATGTGCTAAGCTTCATCCCTCTCAGAGATAGAAGCTCGTTGGCCGGGGCCCCGGGCATAGAGATGGGTGCCGCTCCCTCCCTCGCCCTGTGGGGGCTGTCCCGGGCAGCAGTGCGCATGCCCAGGGGCAAAAGCACAGACATCTACAGGGTTAGGCAGCTGCTGAGGTGGCATTTTGCAGATCACAGTGATGCCTAAAAGTGGGACATAAATGCTTTAAAATGAGACTTAAGCATACTAAGGTGTGATCCATGATTGTTCTTAAGTGCCTATTTTAAAAGCTGTCAAAAACTAACACACTTTTGGCAAGTAGATGATGCTGTACTCTTACCAGGTTTTTTTTGTCTCTTCCTCAATGTTTTTGTTCTTGGTATGTTGCCAGTAATTAGGCCCATGTTAAAATGGGGTTCAGACAATTACTTGTTAAACCTATATCCCAATTATTTATTGATATAACTTTTATAGGTAATAAATTTGGAATAAAGTGATGACTAGACAAAATAAAAATAAATTTTGTCTACCAAGAAAGAAGCTTATAATTCAATTTAATTAAATTTTTTTAAGTGGTTGCTGTATTAGCATTTGATTGTTGGTATTAATGTAATCAACCAGTAGTTTGTCCAACTTGAGGCATCAGATAAGTGAGTTGTTGCGGCTTGTAGAATAGTGTCAGAACTAAAAGTATAATGAACTACCTGAAACCTTGATATTCAGCTGGTAACGTTTATAAAAGGAAATAGATACAGATCTAGAACGATTCGTTAGTGTTGCTTGAAATGCTTGTTGGGCAATGCTGACCTCCAGTGGCAGGTGAGGCTAATCACAGGTTGTTATGTTTCAGAGGAACAGCCGTGTTAGTCTGTGTTCGCAAAAAGAAAAGGAGTACTTGTGGCACCTTAGAGACTAACCAATTTATTTGAGCATGAGCTTTCGTGAGCTACAGCTCACTTCATCGGATGCATACTGTGGAAACTGCAGAAGACATTATATACACAGACGCCATGAAACAATACCTCCTCCCACCCCACTGTCCTGCTGGTAATAGCTTATCTAAAGTGATCATCAAGTTGGGCCATTTCCAGCACAAATCCAGGTTTTCTCACCCCCCCCACCCCCCTCCAAAAACCACACACCACAAACTCTCTCTCCTGCTGGTAATAGCTTATCCAAAGTGACTACTCTCCTCACAATGTGTATAAAAATCAAGGTGGGTCATTTCTACTGGTGACTTCTACTACAGGACAGGCCTAACAAAGAAAATAACAGAACGCCACTAGCCGTCACCTTCAGCCCCCAACTAAAACCCCTCCAACGCATTATTAAGGATCTACAACCTATCCTGAAGGATGACCCAACACTCTCACAAATCTTGGGAGACAGGCCAGTCCTTGCCTACAGACAGCTCCCCAACCTGAAGCAAATACTCACCAGCAACCACATACCACACAACAGAACCACTAACCCAGGAACCTATCCTTGCCACAAAGCCCGTTGCCAACTGTGCCCACATATCTATTCAGGGGACACCATCACAGGGCCTAATAACATCAGCCACACTACCAGAGGCTCGTTCACCTGCACATCCACCAATGTGATATATGCCATCATGTGCCAGCAATGCCCCTCTGCCATGTACATTGGTCAAACTGGACAGTCTCTACGTAAAAGAGTATATGGACACAAATCAGATGTCAAGAATTATAACATTCATAAACCAGTCGGAGAACACTTCAATCTCTCTGGTCACGCAATCACAGACATGAAGGTCGCTATCTTAAAACAAAAAAACTTCAAATCCAGACTCCAGCAAGAAACTGCTGTTGGAATTCATTTGCAAATTGGATACTATTAATTTAGGCTTAAATAGAGACTGGGAGTGGCTATTTCCCCTTGTTTTTTTCTACCCCCACCCCCGACGTTCTGGTTAAACTTGGATTTATGCTGGAAATGGCCCACCTTGATTATCATGCACATTGTAAGGAGAGTGGTCAGTTTGGATGAGCTATTACCAGCAGGAGAGTGAGTTTGTGTGTGTATGGGGTGGGGGGGGGGGGGGGTGAGAACCTGGATTTGTGCTGGAAATGGCCTAACTTGATGATCACTTTAGATAAGCTATTACCAGCAGGAGAGTGGGGTGGGAGGAGGTATTGTTTCATGGTCTCTGTGTATATAATGTCTTCTGCAGTTTCCACAGTATGCATCCGATGAAGTGAGCTGTAGCTCACGAAAGCTCATGCTCAAATAAATTGGTTAGTCTCTAAGGTGCCACAAGTACTCCTTTTCTTTTTACAGGTTATGTCTTTCTTAGAGATATATTCCCAGGACTGAGTACAGTACTTATTTAAAAGTGACCATGAGAATTCAACTGTTATTAATCAAGCATGATTCTTTCTATCTTTTCAAATAGTAAGTACAAAAAATTTATATAAAACACAGTAAGAATACATGATGCATATAGATTAGACTACCGTACAAAGAAACAAGATGGCAGACTGCAGGGGTGAGTTTAGCTTGGATGATAATTTGGAGGATAAACTGAAGTCATCTAATGTTTTCAGAACTAGTAAAATTAAGACCCCATGTTTTGAGGGTCAATAGGGCAATGTAAATTATAGTGGCCTTTTGTTCGATTTTATTCTTTTTTACCTTATGACCTACAGGATGTTGAGAAATTTAATACAAGTGATTTTTATGGACTCAATCCTGCACCACTGAAGTCAGTGGGAGTGTGGCCACTTAACTGCACTGGAGCAGGAACAAACCTGATGGAAGTGAAACTGTGGCAAAACTATCTGATTCTTCTGCATTTTTCCCAATTGTATAAACATGCAGTAGGCAGGAGAACCATCATTTTGTTCTGTTTCTCCCTATTAGGTGACTTGCACTGGTGTCTGAGTGGTGTGGAACAGGGAAGAAATCAAAATTCTTTTAAATATAAGAAATTTAGGTCCAGATTCTGGCCCTGCTGAAATCAATTATTTACCATTGTGAAGAACTTAAAATTATATTCTTCTCTATAATTGATGTTTTATAATTTCATGGACAACTTGCAAAAATGTTTAAATGGAAAATATCTCAATATGAGAAATTTCCCTGATAATGCTACTGTAACAAAACTTACATTGGTGCGCTATAGCTAATAAGCTAGTGTTCAAACACAGTTACTAACATTCACCGTAATGCTGTCTCCCATTATTTCTGTGCAGGAATGTCTGTCTGTCTCTCTCCTTTTCCCTATTCTGGCAAATATCATACAAGAGCCTACTTAGGTTTTAGTCTCTTTACTTACATAAAATATCTGAGAATTTTATTCCTTTCCATTATTTTAATTATTGCCAGGAGTGACTTCAATTACGTTCCATTTCTCTGCCTCCTCCACTCTCTCCTCTCCCCATCCCCCAATTTTATTGAAAGGAGCAATTCAGAAAGAAATGAACCATCTCTTCAATAACTACAAAATCACATTAACTCATGCTTTCTTTAAAGGATGTTTGTGCCCATATTTCTATTACACAACATCCAGTTCAATACATCTCTTAATAAGAACTTTTTATTGTTGTGTAAAAGAGAAAGTCAATGCCTTTTTCACTGTACCATGTTGACTCAATGGCCCTTAGGGAAGTTTGCTTGAAAACTACATTTCTAAAAGTGGATGGGGCTTGTGTTGTGTGTGTGTGTGTGTGTGTGTTCCTGTTCTAAATCTGTATGACATTTTTTTCCCTCTACAATCTTTACAGGTGCTAGGGCTGCTGGTATGGACACTGATTGCTGGAACAGAATATTTCCTGTATCCTGCCTTCGGCTGGGTGATGTTTGTGGCTGTATTTTACTGGGTTCTTACTGTCTTCTTTTTAATCATCTACATGACAATGACCTACACTAGGATTCCCCAGGTGCCATGGACCACGGTGGTAAGTATGCACAATCTTTGTTGTTGCTGCATTTTTGTTTGTTTGTTTTTTGTTGTTTCTTGTATACTGGAGGGAGGAAGACATTGGTATACTCCATAATTATAGTTAAGGAGCTATAATGTGCTTTAACACCTCCTATTTTATTTATAATTCACATCTATCCATGTTCCTGACACTGGCTGTTGTCACATAATTCAGCTAAAGCTTGGTCTACTGCAAAACCCCTTTTTCCCACGCCCAGACTAGGTAGGGTGTACCCTGGAGATTTTTCTGTCTTAATTTTCATTTCTTCTTTCATTTTCATTTTAATTTCCATTCCTAGAGTGCAACACCCACTTTCTCACTCAAAAGACCAGGGAGCAAATTCACTCTGAAGTTATTGCTACTCTTATTATGTGGACTAACCAGCAGGAATATCAATATTCTGTAGTACAGTGTCAGGCTTTATTTGCCTAACCATCATGGTTCCTTTAACTCATTTCCTTTGGACTTTCTTTTTGGTCATTGGTCTATCCAATGTCTTATTTTCCAATAATGGAAATGTGTACCTGTTACACATGCTAATACAATGTAGCTCTTTGTCGCCCTGTAGTGGTTAGACCGCATATGGAGTTTTGACTCTTATGGCTTCTGAGCTAATGGACCCGGTTCTGTAGGTAAGCAATGAAGGACCCTTGTTGAATCATCTATAGGGCTTGAACTAAAGACCAAGTGATGGACTCAGAGGTAGCAGCAGACTCATAAACGTGTATATGGACTAGCCACTAGAGGGGGACATAGTGCTGCAGTGTATTTGTGTGAGCTATTTTAAATTGCATGCCAGTTCAACCTTCTCTCACGAAATCCTTTCTATTAGTAGTTTATCCTGGTCACAGTAAATCTTGAGACGGTATCAATGAAAAATATGAACACTGTTGAAATTCCTGGGTAACTGAAATCCAGATCCTACTTTGCGCTATCCCTAGTAGAAATGGGAGTATATTTGTTACAGTCAAGACTTCTATGACAAAGACACTTACTTTAAGGAAAACAAAAAACCTAGAAGCCTTTGTTACCTCAACCAGCCTGCTACTCACTATGGCTCCTTCATGAAGTATTATAAATTTATTGTAGTATGTGTCTAATGTATCATTTTTATACTTAAAAATCATTAAATGGTTTAAAACCATTTTATTGTAATATAAAGGATATTTTACTTTCACATGACAAACAACTTGCTATTAATTAAAATATTGTGTGCCATGACTATGAAAATTTGAAGAGTCAGAGTATTACTTTTTGCCATGACTTTCCAATTTGTTGCCATGAGAAATAGCTTGCTGTAGCAATACTGGTCTGTACAACTAGGATTATGTACAAATATCTTTTATATTGTCAAGCTTCATGAGCAGCACTTGCCTTTACAATTATAACACCGTTACAGTACTGCTGTAAAATAATCCAACATTTTAGTATCTTGATGTGTTTAGAGGTTTTATTTTTATTTTTTAAATTACATTTGGCATGAATTTAGTCAAAGATAAGACAGCTGCCATCTACTTGGATCGTTTTGGTCACTGCCTCCATTAGTTTTATCTATTAGCAACAGAATCAGGCAAGGTAGCAGCTTGCAGATCAGCAGAACTGATCTCACATATGTCAAGTTGTCTACCACCTAGATGTCTTCACTTGTTTATAGAGCCAAGTGTTTCTTGAGAACCTGTGAGACATTTTCAACCTGCTTTACAGATAAGATTGTTTAGATGCAGACCAAAATGGCAGCCTACCTCCATGACAGAAGAGCTTTAGAGGGAAGAAGGAGGGGCGGGGGGCAAATGCTTGGATTCCAACTTATTTTGCACAGTGGTACTAGAAGAGCTTTGTGATATGACCTATGAATTAATTGGACCCATGCCACTTGTGGTTGGTCAGGAGGAATACAGTACTGGGTCTGCTTCCAGTCTAAATTGTTAATGCCTCCCTTTGGGAGCGCAAGATGCCAGCATATCTCAAATTAGGTGGGTTTTTGTTTTTCCCTATACTCCAGAAATGGTCTCCTGAGGGGATTGTTAGCCCAAAGACGCATTTATTGTATGCATTGTCCAAACTTCAATATTGATTCCTATTTCATAAATTAATTCATTGTAGGGTAAGTACATCACCTAACCATATAAGATGCAGTTACTTTACTGCAAATTAACCTAGACACCTGCTCCAAAATTGTCTGTTGTGCATGCATGCGTTCGTTCGTTCTTCACCAAGAATAATGAATAGAAGATTTTAAACTATGGTAAATTTAGAGTTAAGAAGCAGGTGGTAATTTTAAAATGGAACCCTTTGTTTTGGATAATACTTTGGCAATGGGGTACAGGGGGTACAGTAAACTAAACTTGCATTCAGCTCCATTCTTCCCCATAATGATATCTCCCAAAGCAACACTTTACAAAAATAATGTTCTTCCTTCCTTTATACATGACAAGATACTGCAGGAATTTGCAGCTTTCTAGGATAATAGTTTTTTTTGTTTTTCCTCCAAAGAGAGACAAACACACCAGCTTTGAAGACTTGGAAATAAAGGGCCACTTCATGAAATTCCACCTGAGCCCGATGACTCATGGGATCCAGTCATTAAGTTGGTACCTTGATACCATCTGGTACCATAAAAGCATCTGGATAAGACAAGCACTAAAACAAAGAAGATTAAATGTTTTACACATTTTAATTATATCCTGACTAATTACATTCTTTTAATCCTAAATCCTGGGCTCTCTGCTTAAGCGTGTGGATAAGGGCTTCTTCCCCATCACCCCATGGAATGGCAGCAGACATTCTGCAGCTGTGACTTGTACTGCAATTCTGAGGCTGCGGTAGCTTTTGTGAATTCTGCCAGGGTCAATGACTGGTGAATTCAGTAGCCTCTGCCCTCTCCCCAGCCCCTACGACAACATACAGGAATCTGCAATGGAGTTGGGCTCCACAGTGTGCAGTGCATGCAGTGTTGTGCTCACACAAACAGTCAGCCATTGGAACCACACCAGATATATCTGGGGACATCCATGGCTGTGGTTGAGGGGACAGGATGTTCACAATAACATCTTAAAATGCAAATGTACGGCCTAAAAGTCATTGGGAGTTGGGTGCACTTTGATTGGAACTCCAGCTGCTGTGAATTTACATAGACTACATCGTAAGAATTCCAATCCAATGTATAATCAGTTAATTAGAAGGACAATATATATATTTTAAAGGGGCAGGTTCATTAGCCTTGTGTAAGGTAGTGTTTTCTTACAGGGCTTAACTTCCTGTAGTAGTGATCTTGAAATACTGAGTCCTTAAATGACAAATTTAAAGCCACCCCCTCTCTTCGTTTGTTTTTCCTCTCGATCTGGAGTAACTTCCCCTGCTTAGTTTTCAGAGTAGCAGCTGTGTTAGTCTGTATCCGCAAAAAGAAAAGGAGTACTTGTGGCACGTCTCTTGCTCTGTGAATCAGGAGTTTCTGTGAGTAGAGCAAAGTAGCACACTTTTTGTTTTTAGGACGAGGAAGTGCCTAGGCTGCTACCTTTCTAAAACCTAGCTAGCCAGTCTAGGAGCATGAGGAGGAGTATAGATCTCCCTTCTGTCGCAGGAAATGGGGCCAGAGTGCATGATAGGAAACTTCATCTTGGAAGAGTGAGTCCCTTCCCCTCTTGACCTCTCCAAAAATGGAAGAGCATAAAACTGCAAGCATTCTAACTGTGGTTAATTCATATGCAGAACTTTCTTCATGTTTAGAAACTTAATCAAGTGGCTTTTCTTTAATGTTTTTCATTTTTTTGTGTGTATTGGTATTTGTATTTCCGTTGCCTAAAATATTGATATAATAAGGCCTAATTCTGCCTTCATTTTCACTCTTGGAAGTCCATGGACTACACTATCTTTCATGGTGTTACTCTGGATGTATTATGAAAAGCAAAGCAGAATTTGGCTCAATAGGTGTATTAAAGTACATAAAACTTGGCTGTGTTCTTACTAATATCCAGTGTTACAAGGTGAAACAATTAAGATTACATTCATATGTCTTTTATATTAAGTTTCATGAGCAGCACTTGCCATTATAGTTATAACACTGTTGGATTATTTTAATTACAGCAGTAGTAAGGATAATTGGGAATGTGAATTGTATTTCAGTTACATGGTGTGCGGGTGCTCACAGAAGAGGCCAGCTTCTCCTCACAATTGCATCAGTGCATCCCCCCCTGAATTCAGTAGGGTTTTCAGATATAACTGAGAGGAGTTTTCCCTGTAGTTGTCAAGCATGGCAAGTAGAAGTATGTACTCGATATCAAATGGTTTTTAATCTTTTTTTTTTTTTTTTTTCCCTCCCGTCCTGGCCTAGGGTCTATGCTTTAATGGAAGTGCCTTTATTTTGTACCTCATTGCTGCCATTGTAGATTCATCTTCAGTTACCAACGAGCAGAATAGCCACAATTACAACAGCTGGGCAGCTTCTTCAGTGAGTTACTTTAAAAAAATAATTGAACACTAATATATTCTATGTATGAAAATGGTACATCGAGAATGGAATTTTCAAAAGTGTGAGCTGAAATGGGAATATCCTATTTTAGGTTTTGTAAATCTACAGAATGGTGATGGTGCATTGTGCACAGTAATTCAGAGGAAGATCATATGAAAATTTAACCATTAGTTAACTTACATAAATGACTAGTGATTTTGAGTGCCCCCGTTTTTTGGGTACCTAACTTAAAGATGTCTTCAAGTGGCCTGGTTTTTAGAGAGAGGGTGTTCAGCATGTTCTGAAAATCAGATCTCTTCAAAGTGATCTAAGGCAGGTGCCCAAAATCACTGGTCATTTCTGAAATTGTCGGCCATTGTCTTCCTATCTGTTTGCAAATCCAAAACAGTCAGTGGATTTGGAAGGTCTCCTTGGGCCTGATCCTGAGCCCACTGAAGTCCGTGAGAAGACTACCAATGATTTGGTGAGACTTAGGTCAGGACCCTTTGGCTGCTATGGTGCCCCTAACCCAATTCTTTTATATGGAGCAGCTCCAAATTACAACTACTTTGTAGGTTATTCGTGCAGCTTCAGGTGCCTCTCTAATCTCCTCTGTTATCAGGCAGTCACAATTCCTGTCTTCTGTGTATGAAGTGTGTGTGTTTTTCTTTAAATGCAGTGATCAAAATAGAGACTTTGACACCAGCTCTACTATGCTCTTGCAACTGGAGGACCATGGGCAGTACATAATGGAGGCTGGGGGAGGCTAAGCTTCCCTAAACCTCGCACCACCGGAGAGGGAGGACTGTGACGGATTATCACATGCAGGGCTTGCCCAGGGGCCCCCTGACAATTTGGAGCCTCTGGAAAAATTCCATACATACACACCCCCACCAGTTGCCCTGGGGCACAGAGCTTTTCCAGTCTTGGTGCCAAAGTGGAGGGGGCAAGGGCTGGAAAGGAGTGAGCAGGGCCCCAGGGGAAAGAGGCGGAGTGGGGCAGATTAGGGGCAGGGTCCCAGGGAAAGGTTGAAATTGGGTGGGGCCTTGGGTGGAAGGGGCAGAATGAGGGAGGGGCTCAGGGCTCTGGCCAGTGCTGAGAGCTTGACCCAGCTGGGGCTGAGCTCTCAGCCCCCACCAGAGCCATGAGGGGGCTGAGAGCAGCAAGCGGTGACAGGGTTTCAGCCAAAAGAGGCAGGGCCATGGCCAGAAGAGAGTAGGCGGGGCTAGCCTCCACAAGGGGAAACTTTACCCGCCACCCATGTGGAGGACCTCTTCTCTCTCTCCCTGGTGTTTAGTTTTTTATTTTCCTCTTGGCACCTCGTAACTAAAGGCCTGTCACTCAATGGGTGTTGCTTTTGGCAGGAACTTGTTTGCTACTATACAAGTTTCTGTGCTGATTTGGGTTTTTAAGCAGAATGTATTAATACTCTGCAGATCATCTGAGATGTCCTAGGACCTCTTCAGATAGCTTTTAGTACTACTTGCATATAGTGCTGTTTAAATTAACTGTTAAACCTGGATTATTACTCTGAGAGCTTGTTAAACACCCCTCCTTTCCCTGCTTATTCCTAAAAAGAGATTTTAAAGAATTCAGTAATAACAAAATCATCTCCACCCAACATGCTCTCTTAAGTAAAAGAAAGCTTTCAGGTTTTTGTTCAGGAGAGACTCAAAACTTCCCAAAATTAAGAATGCAACAACATTCTCAGTGTTATATATTAACCATATTTTACACCAATTCCTACAATTTGTTTGGTGCTTCTGATTAAACAAAGTCACCAACAGAAGTTATGGACCTTTTAGCATCATTATACAAGTGTCTAATCTGAGCCCTAATTCTTCTACCCTTATACATGTTCAGTGGTACTTTGCTCCAGTAATAAGGGTGACTGAATCAGGCCCATGACAACATATAGAACCAGATACATTGTTGGTGTTAACCCTGTTTGGTCCTAAATTTTCATCATTGCTTAACTTAAGCTGTCTAGTTTAAATAACTTGCAGTGATGACAGAAGCCTTACCATTGGCACTTGGTGGTTTTAAAATATTTAGAATAGCTGATGTGCAGCTAGTCGAGTAATACATAAAAAGTTTAAAGGAGGAGGGGGAAAGAAGTATACAATGTAAGAAATTGGGAAAAGAACAGTAAAAGCTTGCAAAAATTAGGTACTGTATTTACAGTAATGGTCTGACTCTGTCACCATATTCACTTTGAGTAGTGCCTTCCTCCATCAATGTGGTCCTATTGGAATAATAAAATAAGGTGCTTCTATTTGTGAGTTAAGTTGGCAAGATCAAATCCTAAATGAGCACCATTTTTATTAATATAACTATTTGTCTTCTATCAAATCCTTTTCATAAAATTAAAATGTTCTAAAAAGATGCTATTTTTTTCTAATATGTTTGTTTTTTCTCTTCCCTCTCTCTATAGTTCTTCGCCTTTGTGGTTACCTTCTGCTATGCAGGAAATGCCTATTTTAGTTTTATATCTTGGAGATCACGGACCTCACAGTAAATATTTTGTTTAAAAAAAAAAATTTGTGGATATAAAATCTCAGGAGAGTTGTATTATGTGACCGAAAGGTTGGGGTTTTGTATACTATTTTTCATTAGAATTGATAAGAAAATTATTTAAGCTGTAATTAAAATGGATACTTATTTATAATATACTATTGCCTTTAGTGATGACTAACAGATTTTCTCTGTATTGTATGATAAAGTAGTACAAGTAGCAAAATTTCATACTGTCTTTTATCTTTTAAAATTAATATGGTATTTTCCTAGAAATTATATAGCTATAGTAATTAAGCTGTTAATGAAACCTACTCAGATGATGTGCCAATTTTCCAAATTTAACTATTTTTAAATGTCACGGCTGTAATTTCTGATTAAATGCCACAAAATAAAAAATGAGATTTCGATATTGTCTAATTTTTTGTGTGCATGAAAAACTAAGCCCAAGAATGCTTTAAAATAAATGTCTTGATTTTGCATGTTTTCAACTTCTTTGTTGGGGAGGGGACACAATTTTTTTCGTTTAGATGCTATGCAAAACCCTGATCTTCCCAATTTGTGTATTCCATTCTGTCTACAATCACCTTTCCGCTCTCCAGCAAGGCGGGCTGCAATAGAGCCTATTAACTGAGCTCCAAAATTAGCCAGAGAGACTGTTACCTCCAGAAGCTGAGCACATTACCTTTGATAGTGTTCTTGGACCCAACAGGCCTAAGGATCACAAGATGTGAAGCCAAGAACTGAGCCCAGGTCTCTTGTTTTTCACTTGGCTAAAGGTTAAACATATTGAGTATATCATCGAACACCTATTGAAGATGTTGCCTCTTGTTTGCCAAGGGGCACTGAATAGAACATAAATCTATCCCATCTGCCACAGGGTCACCTAAATGCTAATAAATAATATTAATGTGTTTTCTTTAGGGTAATCACCAGAGTGGAGGTGGTAAGCATGAAGAATTCCCTCCAGCCTTCCTCTGGCTACCACCAACATCTCCAAGATGTTAATTTGTAAATTAACCTTTTTTACTTTGTGTATCTCATTTTTTTTTACATATCTTTTATATTGGTGAAGTAGAATTGCAAGCGAGTGACTCATAACTGACAAAGCTCTGCTACCATAGCCCCCCGGAGTGCTTTTTGTCAACGTAGCTACCGTTTGTTCAAGGAGGTGGTATTCCTACACTGACAGAAAAACCTCTGCCAGCGTAACTATGCGAATGCAGTCTTCATAATATAGACACACACTCTATCCTGATTCACGCCTTCTTAAAGAGCTAGGTTTCCCCAATCCTGTACATCTAGTACTATTATAACGGGTAAATCCCTTCTCCTGCACTTCAGAAATTTTGGATCCTTCCAGACTTTGAAAATCTAGTTGGCTCAATATTAAGGTTTATTTTTGTCATTGATATTTTTACTAAAAATCACAGACAGGACATGGGCAATAAACAGAAATTCACGGAAGCCTGCAACCTGTCCATGACGTTTACTAAAAATATGAGAAGGAGGGGGACTAATAGGTGAAGCTCCAACCCTACCCCAGGCAGCAGCTCCAGACAACAGTCATGGAGGTCCATGAAAGTCATGGAATCTGTGACAAAATCATATCTTTACTCATTATAATTTGTATTAGGGAAATCTGAGGATTAAAGGAACAGAACCTGCTTGCATATTTCTCCCCTTTTAAATAAGATAACCTCTTACATGTTTTGAGACCCTGTACCCTGCAGTTGGGAAGAATTATCTGCACTCCAATAATTCTGTTCTTGATCACAGAGCTGATGTATCTGTTGAGTGGCATAATCCTTCAACGTAAGAGAAGCCAAGATATTTAAATACTTGCATTTAAGATCAAATGCTGGACTGCACCCTGTGGTGACAATGAAGACAAATGTATAGTTGCTGGCTTATCTACACAAGTCAAAGGTTTTTGGCATTAACATTTTATACAGTCTTCTGGTGGTCGAATAAGTATCAAACATGTAAAAAATGGTCCAAATGATAAAACCTGTAGATATGCCTTCAAGTGTAGCTAAAATCAAAACCTTGTAAGTGATTTTCCCATCAACAGCAATTGCTATAGAAATCTAATAGAAATGTGTGCTCTTCCCCCCCTAATTAAATATGGATGAGAAAATTAGTTTGGACTCTGTCATACAAGTGCTAAAACAGACGTGTTGTGGCATTAGGTACATCTGTGCACTCCTAAAGATAGAAATTTAAAAAAAAAAACAAAACCTCCCTTCAACCATTATGTAATTAGCTTGTTAGTAAAATACTTGATGAAGTAGATAAAAATTAATATTTTTCTCCAATTACAGTTTTATATTGCAGATTTTAAAAACATTCTATTAACGTGTAACAAATTCTCACTGTAAAATATCTAGACTTCTGCTCGAGTTAGGTGCTTGTATATTGTGGGATACAGATGTCTATAGTCACTAGGACTCACTTTACAAAAAGCTGTTTCAATACTACTTGTTATCATATGTAAAGCATGTGACAAGATGCAAGTAAATCAAATAAAGAAAATTATAATCAGATGTTAAACCTAAAACTCAGGACAGTGAGGTTCCACTACCTATGTTCTAGAGTGGGGGATTTGTACTAATCTTCATTGTAAACTGTTGCCTCTATTCCTGTGCATGCAAAATATGACCACATGCATTACTCAACCAGCCTTACTGTGGTGGTGAATACTGTTCTCCATGGACTGAGCTCATGATGGTGGTGCACCAATCACATGTGTACTCCCCAGACACTTATGGAAAATAGGGGGAAACTATATGAAAAGTGAGCTAGTGGTATAGAAATCTCCAGATTCCCTAACAGGAAGAGGAGAAAAGACTCTACTAGAATCTTCTTCCAAAGGAGAGGAGAGAAACCCACACCCAAGAGAACTGAACTTGCACTCCGGAGAGAGATGGAGAAGGAAGAAATCCTCTTACAAGTCAGCGAAGAGTGGAAGGGATATTTTCCTCCTGTGTAAACTCTTGACTTTAAGCCAGTGATCCATATTGAAGCCTTATTAATGTTGTGAGGTTCTTTCTTCCTACAGCCATTCAAATCTCTCCAACTAGCCAAGGAAATATCTTGAGTGATAGATGTCTTACAGAATGAGATACAGAGGGCCAATGCTATAGTTGTAGTAATTCTTTACATGAGTACTAACAGCATATGCCAGGAGTGGCCAACCTGAGGCTGAAAAGGAGCCAGAATTTACCAATGTACATTGCCAAAGAGCCACAGTAATACATCAGCAGCCTCCCAGCACCTTCCACCTACTGCCAGCCTTGCTGTTCAGCGCCTCCCCCTCCTTCCCCATCAGCTGTTTTATGGCATGCAGGAGGCTCTGGGGGGGAGGGGGAAGGAGTGAGGGCATAGCAGGCTCAGGGGAGGGGGCAGGAAGGGGTGGAGTGGGGGTAGGGCCTGTGGCAGAGCCAGGGGTGGACAAGTGAGCACCCCCCGGCATCTTGGAAAGTAGGCACCTGTAGCTCCAGCTCTGGAGTTGGTGCCTATATAAGAAGTCGCATGTTAACTTCTGAAGAGCTGCATGTGGCTCCGGAGCCACAGGTTGGCCACCCCTGGCATATGCCATGCAGAGAGACTGGCTGTTTCCTTTTCTGGGGTATGTCTGTCTTTCCAAACCAGATAACATATTGTGATGAATCACACAGAAAATGTATTCAAAAAAGAAAAACAAGCATATATTTTTAAACATGAGGAAATGTATAGTTTCCTCTTTTGAGCTTTGCTAGACTTTCTGCATGAATTCATTCCAGCTGTGTGGGTGTTACAATGATTTGAGCATTTTATTGGTTTCTGTGACCGTTTAACACTAATGCCTCCATTTTCCAAACTCATTTGTTCTGTGAATAACAATACATGAATCAGAAAGTGTGCTTTTTTGTTAGCATTAGTCTTCCATGAGAAGTTACAGTGTTACCGGAAACTAAGTTTCAAGTAAAATACTGAGAGCACCCTCACTGCAAGAATATAATTTCAACATATAACACAGTGTGCCATGTGCACTTGGTGATCCATCGGAAACTTGCCACTCTCCAGTGCACTGTCTTTTAGGAAGTTTTGGCTATGTATGCTGGGACAGAAGAGAGTCATGCAGGGGTGACTGGGAGTAAGGGGTCAACTTCCCAGCAGGCAACTTTCTCCATCCCATAATGTCATCCATATCCCATAATTGTTGCACCTTTTACAAAAACACAAAACCCTGTGCTGCCCTCCTTGCTGTCCACCATCTCTGACGCTATTGTCAGGAGTGTTGCAAGCACAGGACATGCTCTCCTCCAGTATTTTCAGAGCTGCAAGAAGAACCAAATTAGTGGGGAACATGCTGATTTCATGGAGGTCAGATGTCTGTGGGACATAGCAAAAACCAATTCAAGGTTAGTGGGGGTGTTCATGGAGCAGCTGTAGAGGGTGGAGCACCACTTCTGCACCTGAGAAACAATCAATGACTGGTGGGATCACATCATAGTGCAGGTTTGGGATGACAAGCAATGGCTGCAGAACTTCTGGATGTGCAAGGCCACATACTGAGCTTGCCACAGCTCTCCAGCACAGGGACATCAAACTGAGAGCTGCATTAACAGTGGAAAAGCAAGGGGGGGTTGCACTGTGGAAATCATTTTGGAGTTGGAAAATCCACTGTGGTGGCTGTTGTCATGCATGTATACAAGGTCATTAATCATCTCCTGCTAGGCAGAACTGTGATTCTTGGCAATGTGCAGGACATAGTGGATGGATTTGCAGCAATGGGGTTCCTGAACTGTGGTGGGGCAATAGACCACCTTGCCCAAGAGTATATCAACAGAAAGGGCTACTATTCTGTGGTTATGCAAGCGTTGGTGGATCACTGGAGGTGCTTCACCAACATCAGTCTTGGCTGGCGAGGGAAAGTGCTTGACTTGTGCATCTTTAAGAATCCATGATGGTTCAGAAAGCTACAAGCAAGGACTTTCTTGACTGGCAGATTACCATCGTCTATGCTGAAATACCACTAGTGATCCTGGGGACCCAACCTACCCCTTGCTCTCCTGGCTCTGGAAGACATAAGCTGGAGACCTTGATAGCGCCAACGAAAGATTCAATGACCAGCTCAGCAGGTGCAGAATGACAGTTGAATGGTAAAGTGAAAGGAATGCTGGTGTTGTTTACTCTCAAGACTGGACCTCAGTGGAAAAAACATCCTAACGGTTACAGCTGTCTGCTGTGTCCTGCCTAATATCTGTGAAGCAAAGAGGGGAAATCTGCGACCTTGGTGGCTGTCTATTGAGTATGAGCAGCCAGACATAAGGCTGTTAGAAGAGCTCAGTGCAGTGTCATATGCCTCAAGGAGGCTTTGTAAGAGCACTTTAATAATGAGCCACAGTAATGGATTGTGGTGGACCGTGGCCCTGCAGTTTTGGGGCCTGTTAAGAAATGTGTGGTACTTGGTGTACATCTATGAATGTAACACTGTTAATGTGCCTACTAATTTTGTGGTGCTTGTTGTATGTTTATGATTATTATACTGTTTGTCACTGATCCTGTTAATTGTGTCACACTGTACAATAACAAGACAGTGGGTGATTTCAGTCCACTAAGTACTCTGCAGCATATAGTGGGAACTAATAAAGATTAATTATTTTCCAAATAGAATTTTATTGAGTGACAAAAATACTACAAAAAATAAGTCTGTGCAAGTTAAAAGCAAATACATTAGAAACTTAATAAATCAGTAGAACAGAACTTAACAAGGGGACAGAACCCTCGTACATTTTAGTGACACGTACAGCAACGTGGCTCTCACAGGTCAGTGTATGTGAAGCTGTGGTTGTCCTTACTGTCCCCCTGCTGTGGGGTGGCAGATGTAGGGATGTGGCCCCTAATGCCACATGGAATGTTGAGAGGGGGGTGTAGGGAAGTTCTGTAGGGGAGTTAGCCTTAGACTGCAAAGGGAGATGAGTCTGTGATAGTTGAACCTGTAGGTCCACAAGATCCTGCAGCCTCTGTGTTTGCTGCTGGAGAAGCCCCATTATGTCCTGTGCATCTCCCTCGCCTCTTCCTGCTGAGACTCCTGTGCCTTTCTCTTCTCTCCTCTTTCCTTCTCTATGTAGGCTGCAATATTCAGGCCCTCTGCTCCTAGTCTGATGCACCCCTGGCTTGCAGGATCTCCCTGAACATGTCATCCTGAATCTACTCTTCTTCTTTTGTAACTGACTCAGGCATTCTGCAGCCATGTAGGGGAAATCCCTCAAGGCCACAATGGCAGCAGCTACAGATAAAGCACGCAGAGGTACCATTGTTTGTATAGTCACAATGAAAAGTGAAAGTTAAGGTTCAGAACTCCCTTCCCTTGCTCCCCTACAGTTTTAAACAAGACATGCTTATTGACACTTCTGCTTCAGCGTGCTTGTGCACAGCACCGCTCACAGCACCAGCCATGGTGAGTATCGGCTGCCAGGAGTGAGGGAAATGAGGAGGGAATTGCCTTGTTGCCCTGTAGTCATAGTTTCATGCAATGGCACACAATACTGGCACCATTTTCCACAGGTGGTGGTGATTTTAGCTGATATCTCACTCCTGAGGATAACAAAGGCACAAGAGAGCACAGCTGCTGTCCCGAAGCTGCCCAGGAGGCCCGTATTATGACACTAGGCTGTTTATTGCAATGGTGTCTGATAAAGTTCTCACTAACTAGCATGGAAAAGTGTCCTTCCACTCAAGAAGAAACAAAGTTGCTATCCCTAGAAACCTTCCGGGAGAGGATTGCTGAGTACCTCCATGAAAGTTTCTTTGAGATCTCTCTCAGGGGGGTTCAAGAGACATCCCTGTGTACATAAACAAACTGCTCCACATGCCCCCCACCCCCACCTAACTGTACAGAGGAACTGTACAGAGGAATGAAAAGCAGATAACAACTCTACCTTTTTATGCTGTACCGCTACCTCTTCTAGTATGAGTAAATTAATGAAAAGTCAATAGCTGTGTCCTGTTAAGTTGGGGGTGCCATCAGTATATTCTTGTAGTAGAAAATACATTTACGCCCTTACTCAAGGCTCCTTCCCCTGCATCAGGTTCACCTGTGATTGACTGCCCCAATGGACTGTACTGTAGTGGAGACTCAAACAGGCAGACCTGGACCCCTCCCGAGTCACATGTTCCCCATCCTCCTCCTCTTTCTTCTCATTGTCCTCGCTGTTCACGGCAGGTGTCTATGTGTCATGGTCCTGGGAGGTATCCATAGTGGTCTACAGGGTGTTGATGGGGTCTCCACCAAGTATGGCAGGCAGCTCTTTGTAAAATAGGCAGGTAATTGATTTGGTACCAGCTGGACTGTTCACCTCTCTGGCTTTCTGATATGCCTGATATGTTCCTTCACTTTCACGTGACACTGCTGCTTATCCCTGTCATGCCCCTTCTCCTGCATGCCCCCTACAATCTGTTTATAAACATGCACATTTCTACATCTGGTCCATAGTGGTGCCTGTGCAGCCTCTTCTTCCCACAAGTCCACATCCAATAGCTCCTGTCTACTCCAGGCCAGAGTGCATCTGGAGCACGTAGCTGGCATGGTTGGCATGGCAGTTGCAGTCAACCATGGAGTAGTGCTAGGTGTGCTCACCAAGCTGGACAACCAAGAATAGGCATTAAAAAAATTAGTGGGTGCTTGGGGGGGTGGGGGGGACTTCCAGTCTCTGTGACCTCTGGGCAGTGGAGTTCACAATTGTAACCAGACCAATCAGTGTCAAACTTTGTGGGACAGCTGCTGAAGCACTGTTAGGGTTGACACAGGTCCCACAATGTCTGCACTCTTGCTGTGTTGACCTTGGAACATCGCCCATGGCTCAACACTACTCCAGGACGTGGTGTTACTGTATTGCTGTAAAGGGGCCTGGGAGACAAATGTAAGTGTAGACACAGGCACAACTAGGTTGATGCCAGGCAGCTAAGGTTGAGCTAGCTTTCTGGTGGAGAGCAGGCCTTAGTTTCCCAATCTGGAAAATGGCAATGATAAAACCCCTCCCAGTGCTCATGCCAATTGCAAAGTGCTTTGAGTGGCTGGCAAGAAGTACTGGTAGGATGAGGATTATAAATAACAGAGAGACACAACAAGGGATCCTCTTTTATTGTATCTTATTGTCCATCCCCCACTCATGTATCTGGGGCTCAGCCCGCTGTATCTCAGCCCTGGCACACACCCATGGGCCTCTCCCAAGAGACTCAAGGCCTGGGTTTGGGGGGGCGGGGGTTCCTGCTGTGGTAATTGTCACATGAGGGGCCTGCCGGCAGGTGTGTGGGGATGGGGACGCCGCAGGGTCTCCCCTTTCCTCCCCCCTTTCTGAAGGCTGGGGAGGGGAGTTCATTTTGAAAGCCAAGCCAGTGTCCCGTCCATGTGTCTGTCTCTGTCCCACTCCTGTTTAGGGCTGGAACCTTCGTGTCGCTGGAATATCCCAGCTCACAGCCAGTTCTCCCGCCTTCAGCCTTGCGCGCCCTGCCCCGCTCGGGCGCTGTCTGCGCGGCCGCGGCGCCCGCCCCCTTAACCCAAAGCCCCCGCACCCCCGGCTGAAAGGCGGGGCGGGAGGGCAGGAGGCAGAGCAGAGCGCCCCGCCCTCTCAGGGCTGACCAGCCCCGGAGCCAGCCGCCAGGAGGACCTAAGCCGCCGCCGCCGCTTGAGCGCGGAGCGGGGCGCGATGTCTCACGGGGCCCGGGTGATCCGCACCGGCGCCAGCAGCGGGGCCCCCGGCAGCTCCTCTTGCCCGCCGCCCCCGGCGCCGGAGCCCGGGCTGCTGGACGGCGGCTACGCCCGCTCCTGCTCGGCCATGCTGAAGGTCGCCCAGATGGTAAGAAGGGGCCCGGCCAGGGGAGCAGCAGCCCCCGGGAGGGACCCAGCCAGCAAGCTCGGTCCCCGCGGAGCATCCCGAGGGAGGCGCCATGTTCCCCCCTCTCGCCTCCTGCGGGCCGGGCGGCCCCTGCTGTCCCCGTGCCGAGCCCCTGCGACTGCAGCTCCGCTCTGGCTGGGCTCAGCTGGGGCCCCTCGCCTCCCCTGCCTGCGTGGTTTCTAGTCCCCTGGCCTCCCCCTGGCCACAGCCTCCGAGGCGAGGGCAAGAAACCCGGAACGAGCAGCCGCTGGGGGAAGTTTCTTCCTGAGCCCGGGGACTGACTTTTACTGTGGGCTGGAGAGTATAAATGCAATAAGTCACATCCCTAGCTACCCTACAATTGCTAACGTGCAAAATGGGAACTGACTGCTTAGGCAGGAGTACTACGGAAGGGGATCTGGGGTTACAGGGGATCACAAGCTAAATATGAATCAACAGTGTAACACTGTTGCAAAAAAACAAAACAAAACAAAAAAGTCAACATAGTTCTGGAATGTATCGGCAGGAGTGTTGTCAGCGAGGTGCAAAGTAATTCTTCTGCTCCACTCCGGGCTGATAATGTCTCAGCTGACATATTGCATCCACTTTTGGGGGCCACCTTTCAGGAAAGATGTGAAAAAATTGGAGAAAGTGCAGAAGAGTAACAAAAATGTTTAAAGGTTTAGAAAACATGATCTGTGAGGAAAAATTGAAATTCCTGTGTTTGTTTAGTCTGGAAAAGAGGAGAATGGGGGGGGGGACGGGACATGATAACAGTTTTCAGGTACATAAAAGTTTGCTGCAAGGAGGAGGATGAAAAATTGTTCTTGTTAATCTCTGAAGGTAGGACAAAAAGAAATGTGCTTAAATTCCAGCAAGGGAGGTTTAGGTTGGACATTAGGCATTTTCCTATTCCTGTCAAGGTGGTTAAGCACTGGAAAAATTGTCTGGGGAAGTTGTGCAATCTCCATCACTGGAGATTTTTAAGAACAGGTTAAACAAACACCCAGTAGTCCTGCGTTTACCTAGTCCTGCTTTACCTAGTGGAGTGCCTGGGACTGGACTAAATGACCTCTTGAGGTCTCTTCCAGTCCTACACTTCTATGATTCTGTGTAGCAGGAGAAGCATCTCTTGGCCACATAGCTGGCTGCTCCTTCTCTGACCCCCTAATTGCCTCCTTGGGATGGTCACTAGAAATGTTCTGTTGCATTTAAAAATCCGAAGCCTCTCAAATTACATACTGCTGTGTGGTTCACACACTCTGCAGGGTAGTCCTGTTTGGGTCTGGATTCTGAGCACCACAGGATGGGTTCTGGAATCCTGTGCCTCATTCCATAGATCCTCAACCTCCCTTGCACATGGAGAAAACCATTTGGGGTACTTACTGTTACTGATGTTAAGTTGCATTTTTGTGGCACCTAGAAACCCAGTCATGAACCAGGACCCCACTGTGGCCAACCCTTTTACAGAATTCTTGTTCCTAGGCATTCAGCTGTAAATTTAGCTCAGATGATGAGGGATTTTTTTTAGTTACTCTTTTACACATTTGGAAATAAATTTGTGTGTGTTATTGATTCGCCTGGGTTATTACTTAAACTACAGGATATTTTGTGAATTTTTATTCTTGATTTTATAAAGGACAGAAAGACATCTTGTTCTTGTGAAACTCAAATTTACTGTCAGTTAAAACAGTCTTTTCGATTTTTCTAAAGCATATGATACAAAGTCGTATTCAGATTATGTACCTAGAATAGCAACGTGTATGAACAGTGTTTTATGTTCCACCTAACAACTTGGCTAGAATAAGTTTTTAGGAGATGAAGTGACTTGCTGAAAAATACAGTGCTGAATTCAAAGTAAAAGCTAAGAACTGTAATGTCCCATGTCACGACAGAATGAAGTCAAACCAGTGAGTTTGATTTTCAGAAGTAATTTGAGAATTTAACATCACAACTCCCATTAATTTCAGTGGGAGTTATGTAGCTTAATCCATCAGTTGCCTTTGAAAATTGCAACCTGTAACTCGGGTTAAACAAACTCCTGTCAGGGATGTTTCAGTGCAGGGGGATGGACTAGATGACCTCTTGAAGCCCCTTCCAGTCCTAGTTTCTATTTTCTATTATTCTATTTTGAGACAGGTAACTGAACATTAGTGGGCATATATGAATTCAGTGAGTATCATACCTTGTTCACTAAACTCCAAAGTCCTCTCCCACAATGATTTGGGGTCACTGTTTAAGATGTATAAAATGCATCTGATGAAGTGGATTCTAACCCATGAAAGCTTATACCCAAATAAATTCGTTAATCTCTAAGGTGCCACAAGGACTCCTCCTCATTTTTGCTGATACAGACTAACACGGCTATCACTCTGAAACCTGGATAAGATCTGTTCTCTAGTGCACTCTTTTCTTTGGCTTGTTTTTCCCAAACACTGATAGTGGAGGTTATTCACAGGACATGACATTCTTTGAGTATTATCATAGTGTATAGTGGCTGAGACTATCGGAATTAAAGCAGTCAGTTTGCTGCAGTGACTTTACCAATAAGCAGCAAACCTTCTTGGACTGAAAGTGGTGTCATTTATTACTCTTGGACTCTTAAAGAAAGATCGGTTGGCTTCCGGGCAAATCGTGAGGATGAGCTGTTTCCATTTCCTTCAGACGTTTTGCTTGTCAGCTTCACTGTTAGTGTGAGCAATAGAGGTGACCTCAGGAATCCATTGAGCTTTGGACAATTCAGTCTCTTTCTGAAGTGGTGTCTTGGTGCTAAATAAACTTGAATAAGTTCCGTAAAAAGTTGAAAGATTACTTACTAGGGCTGGGGTCAGCAACGTTCGGCACATGGCCCATCAGGGTAATCCACTGGCGGGCTATGAGACAGTTTCTTTACGTTGACCATCTGCAGGCATGGCCCCCTGCAGCTCCCAGTGGCTGTGGTTTGCTGTTCCCGGTCAATGGAAGCTGCAAGAAGCGTCAGCCAGCACGTCCTCGCGCTGCTTCCTGCAGCTCACATTGGCTAGGGATGGTGAACCGTGGCCAGTGGGAACTGCAGGGGGCTGTGCCTGCAGACAGTCAATGTAAACAAAATGTCTCGCAGCCCACCGGCAGATTACCATGATGGGCCACGTGCCGAAGGTTGCCAACCCCTGTACTAGGGTTAGAAATAACCAGAACAATCTGGTTCTGAATGAGCAACTGCAGCCGATGAAATATTCTCTCTGCTAAATTTTTTATAAGTCCTATTATCTCATCTCATAAAATAGTCCCATTGTGTCCATGAAATTATTCATCATGCCAATTAATTCATGCTATAGTAAATTTTTACAGGATTGGGACCCGAGTTTGTAAAGTACTGTAGACAGTGGAGAGCGATATACATTTCTTAATTAATTATACAGGTATAAATTACAATGCTGGTAGAGTAGCAGTCTGTCAGTGATAGAAGTGTTATGCCAGTGGAGGCCAAAGATGGGTGTAATGCCCTCTGGGAGCACCATGCTTACTAGCAGCACTTGCTGTATCCTTTTTGAAGGTATACTATGTGTACTCCCACTGAGTGGCCCTCTGAATGCTCACATTTATGCAGTGAAAACACAGCCCTGGCCATGTCCCTGCTTGCCCAGTCGCTCTTCTCTCTCCTTTTCATTTTGTTTACTTTTTATCCACAGAAATGTTTACTTTCATTTTTGATATACAGTAACCTTAGATGCTCCTTGTAACACTAGCAAGGAAAAATTCAGAGAGAAGTAGTTTTTTTTAAGATGATAGTGTCTCTTTAATATATATACATAAAATAATTAGAAATAATTCTAGTACATCAACTGAATGTGCTGAAAGTCATCACACACAGGAAAGAGAAGAGGGACCTCTTTATAGCATCCCTCTGCCACGTATGCTTTTTTCAGCTGTTGCTTTCTGTCAAAGATTTTAAAACAAACCAAGATTAGGTTTAATAGAGGTTTGAAAGCCTGATTGGCAATCTGAATATTATTGCATTGTTGTGACTGATGGCTTGCAGTCAATTTGAAGATAAAGGATTATTCTGCTAGGGGTCTCAAAGCACTCATGGTCATCTGTGGTGGTTAACCTGGACTGAAATAGGAAGTAACAAAAGTGTGTTTCCCGTCTATAAGATTACTGGAAATTGTGATACTTTTCCACTGTATAATTTCTCTAACCTTGCAAAAGAATTACAACTCCAAAGAGGGAACAAACATTGTACAGTGGGGTCCTAGATTTTTGTTGTTTAAAGGGACATTCAACAGAAATATACTTCTTGAAAATGTTTTACCTTATGAGTATTACATGTAACATTTTAGGCCCTGATCCTGTAAGTTTATATTCATGGGTGGCCCTTGTGCCTGCATGGGGTCCCTGGGATCTGCCCATGTGTCTGATCTTTCAGGATCAGGGTCTAAAATTGATATAAATGACAGAGAGTAAGGGGGGAAATATTTCTCTATTTTTCAGTTTGTTTAGTTGGTGCACTTGACAGTGTTTTCTTTATAGTCAGTTTCGCAGTTTATAGTCAGTTTCATGGTTTCTCATATATGGTAAACTAGTCAGTTTCCTCTGTCATTTTTTGTGACGGGCCTTTTACATATCAACAGGAAAGAGAGAAACCCTTTTTTTTTTTAAATATGAGCATGTGATTGTAAAACCAGAAGTGTTGAGAAAGGAACTCTATTCTTTTAAAAGTGACCAAATTCCATACTGATGATGTCCCTTTCGTAGAAGTTTATATCCAAAAGTTAATCATGAAAAAAGCAGCTTATAACTTGATTGTGGGGAAATAGCTCACATTCTAAATCGCTGGATTTTATTTTTTTTTACAGCTCAAAATTGCCAAGACATCTTTTAAAAAAGTGACTATGTTCAATTCACACACACAACACTGTTGTGTTCCCCAGCTGGTTCTGTAGCAGCAGTATGCTCACAGTGTGTCTCTACACTAGAGAGATGAACCGTTTGTAACTGAA